TGAGCAGCAAACAGAGTAGACAGCAGGTGCCCATCACAACAAACAACCTAAAGCACAGTTCTGCATTTATCATCCCACTCAAGGATTTGCTAAAATGCCTCCCTAGCATAGAGGCAGGTACTAATGGGACACGAAGTAACAGCAGAAGTCAATCACATAGACACCAGACTAACTAGGTAAACAAGTTATGAATAAATGAGAGTCACTGAAGACCTCATTAATTAGATTTAGCTGGATTTTGAGGAATGAACAGAATCTGAACAGTGTGAAAGGAAGAAGAGAATCCAGGCAAAAAATTCATAAGCAATAACCAAAGATCAGAAATAAACTAGGTCTGTATTGAAATATGGATCCCAGTAGTTATGAGGGGAATTTTCGTAGAAAATTCATTCATTCTTCAATTTGTATAATGCTTAGGTTTTAGGAATACAAAAATATAAAATACTATAGTGTGTCTTCAAAGTGCTCACAAAGAGCTGGGGAGAGTGGCTCATGAGTATAATCCCAATACTTTGGAAGGCTGAAGCGGGAGGATCACTTGAGCCCAGGAGTTAGAGGCTGCAGTAAGCTGTGATCATGCCACTGTATTCCCACCTGGGTGACATATGAGACCCTGTCTCAGAAAACAAACTAAAAATTAAAGTGCTCACAAAGTGGAGAAGGTATAGTTAAAGATATACACAAAGCCGGGCGCGGTGGCTCAAGCCTGTAATCCCAGCACTTTGGGAGGCCGAGGCGGGTGGATCACGAGGTCAAGAGATCGAGACCATCCTGGTCAACATGGTGAAACCCCGTCTCTACTAAAAATACAAAAAATTAGCTGGGCATGGCGGTGCGTGCCTGTAATCCCAGCTACTCAGGAGGCTGAGGCAGGAGAATTGCCTGAACCCAGGAGGCGGAGGTTGCGGTGAGCCGAGATTGCGCCATTGCACTCCAGCCTGGGTAATAAGAGCGAAACTCCGTCTCAAAAAAAAAAAAAAGATATACACAAAATGCTTTAATAACAGAGAAAGGAGTGATTAATATACCAGAGGAATGAGACTGTCAGTAAATATCAACGAAGATATTTGAATTAATGTTTAAAAATTGAAAATGGGCTGGGCGCAGTGGCTCATGCCTCTGATCCCAGCACTATGGGAGGCCGAGGCAGGTGGATCACGTGAAGTCGGAAGTTCAAGACCAGACTGACCAACATGCCAACCCCATATCTACTAAAAATACAAAATTAGCAGGGCGTAGCGGTGCATGCCTGTAATCCCAGCTACTCAGGACACTGAGAAAGGAGAATCACTTGAACTGAGGAGGCGGCTGTGGTGACCCAAGATTGCGCCATTGCACTCCAACCTGGGCAACAAGAGCGAAAAACAAAAAAACTGAAAAATGATGTCACCATTTAAATTCCAGTCACAGAAAGGAAAAAAAAAATGTTAACACTTTAGGATTACCTACTATATATGAGGCATTTTTACCTTTAGGTTTTATAGTTAACATTCTTATACATAAAGAAACTGAAGTTTAGAGTTTAATTAACTGACCCCATATAAAAAAGGTAGTTAATGCTGAGCCTGGCGTTCAAACCTAGGTTCATCTGCTGCTGAAACTCATGCATGACCTTTCCAATACTACCTAGCTCTGGGAATTTATAAGCACATTAATCATGAGTATAAGGTGCAACACAACTTTAGAAAGTCAAGTCACTACCAGAAAATTAGTAAAATGTTTAAGAGCCAAACAGGACGAGAATAGTACTGCTCAGATTTTCTAATACACAGAAGAGCTTCAGTCTCTAGGACTAATGTAAATGGTTTGAAATGGGGAGATAAATGTTACTGAAGAAAAATCATTTTCAGCCAAGCAAGGTGGCTCATGCTTCTAAACCCAACACTATGGGGGGCCCAGGCAGGTGGGTCACTTGAGGTCAGGAGTTTGAGACCAGCCTAGCCAACATGGTGAAAGTTTTAGTAGTTTTTCTCTACTAAAAAACACAAAATTTAGGCAGGTGTGGTGGCGCATGCCTGTAGTCCCAGCTACTCGGGAGGCAGAGACAGGAGAATCCCTTCAAGCCAGTTGCAATGAGCCGAGACTGCACCACTGTACTCTAGCCTGGGTGACAGAGCAACACTGAGTCAAGAAAGAAAGGAAAAGAAGAAAAGAAAAGAAAGATCATTTTCACACAGAAAAGCTTTGAACCTAAATCACTGCTAGAGAAAAAATACTTTTAAGTATTAAAACTATAGTCATTTGGTCGGGCGTGATGGCTCACTCCTGCAGTCCCAACATTTTGGGAGGCAGAGGCAGGCAGATCACTTGAGCCCAGGAGTTCACGCTCAGGACCACTCCCCACAAAAAAAATACAGTATAGCCAGAAATGATGGCCATGTCTCGGCCTAGCCGCTAGGGAGGCCGAGGAGGGAGAATAACTCCAGCTGCGAAGTCGGGATGTCAGTGAGCCGAGATCTCACCACACCACTCCAGCAAAGTTGACAGAACTAGACCCTGCCTCAAAAACAAACAAAAAAACCTAGGGTCAGACAGCTAGCTTGCAAGACATTGTAGCAACAGAGAAACTTGCATCATCCCAACAAAACAGTTAACATCTCTTACCAACAAGTTTCAACAGAAATAAAATTCTTGGAATAATGTTTTGTAAAAACCTAGTACAATCTGGAATCCATGCTTAAACAACTTACCAGTTTATGACAATTAAACATACTTTGGTAATTTATAGACTTTAAATAATACTGTAGTAAAATACACTTGTAAAATTCTAAATTTTTTGCCAATTTCAAAAGAACTAGAAAACACTTTTTTTTTTTTTTTTAAAGATGGGGTTTCACCATGATGGCCAGGCTGGTCTCGAACTCCTGACCTCAGGTAATCCACCCACCTCAGCCTCCCAAAAGTGCTAGGATTACAGGCGTGAGCCACCGCACCCGGCGAAAACCCATCTATAAATGACACTTTTTCACTAATATCTTTATCATAACCGTAAAGCTCTACTGTAACCTTACTTTCCTATTCTGAAATAAGTTCAAACTTCAGCCATAATCAAATAACATTCCCCCCGCAAAGTAATGGAAAAATATATAGACTTATTACTTAGCAAAGAGAGCTCTGAATAAATATCTTAAGTGCTTAGCAAAAATAAAATTAAATATCTTAAGTGCTTAGTAAAAATATAATTTATATTACGTCAATATAAAACCGTGATGGCAAAATCCATTGTTTTAGTATTTTTTCACCAACCAAAGAAAATAATGCAACTTAGGCCATCAGCTTCATAAAGATTTATTTTTGCCTAAAGCATTGTGATACAAGCCAATTTTTTTTTTTTTTTGAGACGGAGTCCCGCTCTGTCCAGGCTGCAGAGCAATGGCGCTACCTTGGCTCACTGCAACCTCCACCTCCCAGGTTCAAGCGAGTCTCCTGCCTCAGCCTCCCCAGTAGTTTGGGATCACAGGTGCCCACCACCACGCTCTGCTAATTTTTGTGTTTCTACAAAAATTACAAAAGGTCGCCATGTTGGTCAGGCTGGTCTCGAACTCCTGACCTCAGGTGATTGGCCCGCCTTGGCCTCCCAAAGTGCTGGGATTACAGGCGTGAGCCACCGCGCCCGGCCATAAGGCAAATTTCTTTTTTTTTTTTTTTTTTTAAGGCTAGTCAAGTGAAGCAGTGGGAGTGGAGAGGGGACAAAGAAATCTGTAACTGGTTGTGATCAATTAGTTGTAAACACCACTGCACTTGGACCAGCCCATAAGCCAGCTTTCTAACAAAAATTCTTCCCAGGAGTACAGGAAAGACAAGTTAAAATGTATCCCCAAGTTTCAGGAAAACAGGCTACATATGTAAGGTCAAGTCTCAGAAAAAAAACTCAAAACATACAATATTTTACCTTTTTCTGGTCAAGGAGACAAAAAGTGCAAAAGTTATCTTACAGTAATAAGAAAAAAATGGGTCAAATGCAATTAAGGTGAGGAAAAATGCCACAAGAGGAACAACTAGCATGTTTCAACTGTCACTAGAAGTTTTGTTTGAATTAAGTAGATTTACCACTGCACCACGTTCAGGGGGAAAAAAAAATATTGCGCACTTTAGATCTCCAGAGTGTACTTAAAAGTCAACTCTACGCTCCCCGGAGTTGTTCCTTGCAGTACAGGCTTTCTGTTCATATTCTAATATCTTCCAAAGTCCCTCAACAGTCAACTTAAGGTCATGTGTGGAGAAACTACTTTAAAACATTCTTGACAGGCTTTCTACGAGTAGCCCATATTTTTCTGATTTGATTTAAATAGATCCAATTACGGAATTCCCTACCGACCAGCCGCCGCCCCCTCCTCCTCCTCTTCACTCCGGAAGGGGCCACTAATCACAATGGTTACAACCAAGTACAAACATTCATTGTCATTTCCTTTTAAAAGGCATGCTTTCTAAGATCCTCACTATTTAGTAGCCAGAAGACAACTTAAAATTGGAGATAGTGATCTAGCACAAACCAAACAAATTTATTCCAAAAGAGCAGGGCTTTGCCTGTCAAGCTGTACCTTTATTCTTAACACCGATTTCAAGCCACAATAACATGAAGGCTAACCCTCACCTGTTTTGCAGGTTGCACGTTAACTTCCCGTGACCCTTTCAACGAACCGCTTCAACTCGGCCCACCTCCTTCCGCTCCCGCCCTAAACCTCAGTTAAAATGCGTTTCCCTCCAAACTTCACGTCTTAACCGTGGCCTGACTTACGTCTTCTCGTCGCCACCGCTCCCAGTTAGGGCCTTAGTTCTACCATGCCCGCCTTTCCCGGTTGGCCTCAAGCCTCCAGCCCCCTCCCATAAAGCTCGAATCTGCCTCGACGAGCCTCCCCGAGGTCAATCCTCCCAGCTCCTCCAAACTGTACCCAGGCGCCGGTCCAGGCCCCCAAAGCACGCAACGGCCGAGCCTGAAAATGGCGGAGAGTGCCACTGCCTGCTGCCGGCGAGCAGTCCCGTGTCGCCGCCAGACTCACCGTCTGGCGTAGAGCAGAGCTCCTAACGGCCAGCGCAGCTTAGTCTTCAGAGCCCGGAATGTCTCTTCTGTTTGGTCTCCCCTCTTCGTTCCTCTCAATCCCGCTCCTCCAAAGGAGCAGCCGCCATCTTCCCCTAGGAGCCACCGAACGCACGCTCTGGAGTCATCACGCACTGGCGGACGCTGCTACGTCACTCGCGCCTGGCCGCCGGTCTCGGTGAGAGTCGATCTGCGCCTGTGCTGAGGTAAGGGGCCGGGCCCTGAGACCCTGCCCAGCGCTTCCTTTGTTCCGGAGCCTCCCGGATGAAGAAACCGACCGCATTTCGCAGTGCTGCTTTTTTTTTTTTTACAGTGTGAGCTAACCTGGATGCTCTGAAAAACACCCGGTTTTCCAAAATGTGAATGAGTATGTTTGTTCGGGGCCGGTGCGGCAGAGACAGCGGGCCGCTGGACCGAGCCCACCGAGAGTGGATGTGTGGGAAGCCACCGTGTGACGTTGCTGAATCTGTTCACCCGTCAAGCTGGTGGCCGCCCTGGCAAAGCCCGGCGCACAGTCAGGCTCCACGCCTTACCCGAGCCAGTTGTGCCTCTAGATTACGTGTCGCTTAAAGTCGAGCAACCAAGATAGAAAAACAGCCCCACGGTGCAGCCACTTTGGAAAACCGCTTCATTTTCTGCGATAGCTAAGTGTACGCCTACCTTGTGACCCAGAAATTTCACTTCAAGAGGAATGAGTGTATACGCCCACCATAGGCATGCGCAAGAATGTCCATACCACGATTATTTGTAGTAATAAAAAACTGGTAAACCAAATGTCCATCAGCAGTTGAGTGGCTAAATTGTGTTACAGTCATACAGTGGATTTCTCAGAGCAATAGTAGTTTACGGATAAATGCAACAGCCTGAATGAATATCAGATAATGTTAACTCAGGCACAAAGAGGAGGACGCTGTATGATTCCATTTTTATGACGTTCAAAATAGAACTGCAAAACAAGTTGTTCCCCAGTATGAATCAAGAATCGTACCAGCCTGGCAACGTGGTGAGACCCCATCTTTACGCATGGTGGCGCGTTCCTGTGATCCCAGGTACTTTAGGAGGCTGAGGTGGGAAGATCATTTGAGCCCAGGAGTTGAACACTACAGTGAGCCAAGATCGCGCCACTGCACTTCCATCTCGGCAACAGAACAAGAGCCTGTCTCAAAGGCGGCCTACTTTTGACTCCATAATCCCCTTCCAAAAATCTATTCTAAGGATAGCCTCAGAAGTGTGAACAAGATTTTTGTACTAATCTTTGAGGCATTAATGATAGCCCCCCCCCCAAAAAAAGAAAGAAACACAGTAGCCGACAGTGATTAAGTAATTAAGGAATGGCACAGCCATACGTAAAGTATCATGCACACATTACACAGTATCTAGATACTACGTGATACTCTATGGATGTGCCATTACCTAACCATTGTAATGATGATATCAGAAATATTTATAATCTTATTGTAATGATATCAGAAATGTTTACAATCATACATTTTTTCTTTGTTTTGAGACAAGGTCTCTCTGTTGGTGATAATAATTCACTGCAGCCTCAACCTCCCAGGCTCAAGTGATGCTCTCACCTTAGCCTCCCTAGTGGCTCGAACGAATGCTCTCTGCCAGGACACCCATAGCCAGCTAATTTTATGTTCTCAGACTCCTGGGTTCAAGCAATCCTCCTGCCTCAGCCTTCCAAAGTGCTGGAATTATAGGTGTAAGCCAGTGGGCCCAACCCCTATAATCTTATTTTGATATGTGCCTAGAAATATGTAAGGAAGCCAGACAATTCCAGTTCCATGTGATGAGTTTAGGATAGGATGGAAGGAATCCACAGACACCCTGAGGGCACGGCAGGAATGCCAGGATAGAAAATAGGATTCTCATGGCCTGAAGATAAGGAATGGGGTCAGGAACGTAACCCTAAGAAGCCCACTCATAAATTGGGTTTGACGGTTAGACAGAGAAGACAAACAAGTGGTCACTTCCTAGAAATTATAGCTGGGAGTGGTAGAGGAGGCGTTCAGGCAGTGTCCTGTCCCGTGAAAATCTTTAAAATGTGAATTGGAGGAGCAGTCTAATCAAGGGCAAAAATCTGTCACACCTGTAACCTCATGGGCCTCTTCCTAGAAAATTGTTTTTAAAATTGACCAGGAGAGGCCGGGCACGGTGGCTCAAGCCTGTAATCCCAGCACTTTGGGAGGCCGAGGCGGGTGGATCACGAGGTCAAGAGATCGAGACCATCCTGGTCAACATGGTGAAACCACATCTCCACTAAAAATACAAAAAATTAGCTGGGCGTGGTGGCACGTGCCTGTAATCCCAACTACTTAGGAGGTTGAGGCAGGAGAATTGCCTGAACCCAGGAGGCAGAGGTTGCGGTGAGCCTAGATCGCTCCATTGCACTCCAGCCTGGGTAACAAGAGCGAAACTCCATCTCAAAAAAAAAAAAAAAAAAAAATTGACCAGGAGACAGATGAACCTGTTAAATATACTGCAAGGATGCAATCAGCCGTAATCTATATTTCAGAAAATTTTACATTTTTTTCCAAAAAAATGATTAAAAAATGGAGGAAAGAAACTGTTAGAAATTATCTGTTAAAGGTTAGAGGATTAAGAGGCATATCAGGCCGGGCGTGGTGGCTCACGCCTGTAATCCAAGCACTTTGGAGGCCAAGGTGGGTGGATCACCTGAGTTTGGGAGTTCAAGACCAGCCTGACCAACATGGTGAAACCCCATCTTTAAAAAAAACTTAAAAAAAAAGAGGCATATCAACCAAATGCAATGTGTATTCCATGTTTGGATCCTGATTGAGGAAACTGGGGGGAAAAAGACATTTTTGAGAAAATATAGACATCTGAGCATAGACTGGGTGGGTATTAGGTGACATTAAAGAATTTTTAAATTTGTTTATTTTGATTAATTTTTTTAAATCGTTACCTGTTGTCCAGGCACGGTGGCTGGGAGGCCAAGGTGGGTGGATCACCTGAGGTCAGGATTTTGAGACCAACCTAGTCATCATCGTGAAAACCCATCTCTACAAAAAATGCAAGAAAAAAAATTAGCTGGGGGTGGTGGCATCCGCCTGTAATCTGAGCTATTCAGGTGGCTGAGGCAGGAGAATCGTTTGAACCCAGGAGGTTGCAGTGAGCCAAGATGGTGTCACTTTACTCCAGCCTGGGCAACAGGGCAAGACTCCATCTCTAAATAAATAAAATAAAATTTTTACCGGTTACATCCTCAGGGACACAGCGTCTCCCTACATTGCCCAGGCTGGCTTTGAACTCTTGGCCTCAAGTGATCCTCCCATTTGAGCCTTCCAAATAGCTGGTACTACAGGGGTGTGCCACCACACCTGGTTAATATTCTCAATTTTTTTGTAGAGATGAGGTCTCACTATGTTGCCTAGGTGATCTTGAACTCCTTTTTTTTTTTTTTTTTTTTTTTTTTGAGACGGAGTTTAGCTCTTGTTACCCAGGCTGGAGTGCAATGGCGCAATCTCAGCTCACTGCAACCTCCACCTCCTGGGTTCAGGCAATTCTCCTGCCTCGGCCTCCTGAGTAGCTGGGATTACAGGCACACGCCACCATGCCCAGCTAATGTTTTGTATTTTTAGTAGAGACGGGGTTTCACCATGTTGACCAGGATGGTCTCGATCCCTTGACCTTGTGATCCACCCGCCTCGGCCTCCCAAAGTGCTGGGATTACAGGCTTGAGCCACTGCGCCCGGCTTGAACTCCTTAAGTGATCCTCCCACCTCAGCCTCTCAAAGCACTGGGATTGCTGGGATTAGCCATAGCACCCAGCCACTATTATCTTAACACATATATAAAAATATTGTATAACAAGTACATTTTCCTACACAAATAGGATACTATCCAAACTGTACTCTTTTGGCAATATATCTTGGCACTTTTCCTTCTCAGTTCACAAGTAGACATATCTTTGTTCTTTTTAACAACTTCTCAGGCCGAAGAAGGTGGCTCATGCCTATAATCCCAGCACTTTGGGAGGCCTATGGGGGAAGATCACTTGAGCTCAGGAAATCAAAACCAGCTAATACAAATAATGCTGCAATCACCATCCCTGTGCCTTCTTTATGCATGTAAATACAGCTGAATATGCCACCTCCCACTGGATTAGCATAGACTATTTCAACGCATACTGTTCCCATCATCTATACATACAGCTTTCTCCCCCTCTTTCTAGAGGCAAAGAAAGCAAGCCTGCTAACAACAAAAAAAAATCAGAAACAAACTAGACCAGGTGCAGTGGCTCAAGCCTGTAATCTCAGCACTTTGGGAAGCCGAGGTGGTCAGATCAGCTAAGGTCAGGAGTTTGAGACCAGCCTGGCAAGCATATAGTGAAACTTGATCTCTACTAAAAAATACAAAAATTAGTGCTCGCTTCGGCAGCACGTATAGTAAAATTGGAACGATACAGAGAAGATTAGCAGGGCCCCCACACAAGGATGACATGCAAATTCGTGAAGCGTTCCATATTTAAAAAAAGAAAAAAATATACAAAAATTAGCTGGGCATGGTGGTGCGCACCTGTAGTTCCAGCTACTTCGGAAGCTGAGGCAGGAGAATCGCTTGAGGCCGGGCGTGGTGGCTCACACCTGTAATCCAAGCACTTTGAAGGCCAAGGCGGATGGATCACCTGAGGTCGGGAGTTCAAGATCAGCCTGACCAACATGGTGAAACCTCTTCTTAAATAAATAAATAAATAAATAAGAATCACTTGAACCCAAGAGGCAGAGGCTGCTGTCAGCCGAGATCATGCCACTGCACTCCAGCCTCCGTGACAGAGCAAGACTGTCTCTAAAAAGAAAAGAACAAACTAAAGCAACTAAAGAGTCTGAATTAAAGATCAAAGAAGGCAGTACATAGTTTCTTTAAACATGCAGTTCAGCTACTTCAAGAAAACAAAAAATGCATATTAGAGCACTGCATACACAACTACATATCTAGACGGCAAAGCATGATGCAGAAAAAAAAGAATACTGGACCCATGTCAGTAGGCCCAGGTCAGAGTCCTGGGTTTGCCACCTGTAAACTGAGGTTGGCCTTTGTTGACTCCGTAACAATGACGTTATATTCCAGGAACACTTGGCAAATTCAAATATCTAGCCCAGGGCTTGCCCTAGGCTTTGGGAATACTTGAA